AAATAAAGTGTTTGTAGATGGGGAGGGGAGGAGGGGGTGAAGGGAGGGCAGAGGTAAGGGGAAAAAAATGAGAATCAAGACTTGCCATGTAAAGGTACATGATCCCAACAATGAATGTAACTGTACTGTATCCCTAAATGTACCAATAAACCAAATAAAAAAAAAAAAAAAAAAAATCTGTTTTCATGAGCAAACTAGTTCTATCACAGTACTGCATGTAAGATTAGTTTTAAAAACAAAACAAAACATTTTTTTTTAACTAAGGTAGGATAAACATTCTTAAAATCAACTGGTACACACAATCCCAATATAAAAGATCAGTGCTGTTCTGGTTAAGGGACTTGTGTCCAATGTGTTCTCAGTCTTTATAGCTCACCTTGTAATCTAACCTAAAAGTTACTTTACAGAATATTTTCTAAACCCCTGATTTTGATCAAAGGTCAAATAATAATCAAAATTGCTAATATATCTTTTGTCACTTTCTAGTCATATTTTAATTCTATCAATAGAAAATGGATTCAACATTATAGCCAGCACTACCACATGTAAACTGATTAATATTTATATTTAAATATTATTTATAAATATTTATAATAGTCATGCCAGCCACTTTCTGAATATTCAATAGCCACATATAGTTAGTACTGAAAAATACCAATATACAACACTTCCATCATCAGAAACATTTCTGCTCCACATGGTTACCTGCTTTCCTTAAATTGCTACCTCTAAAATATTCTCAAACTAAAATATCAGCATTTCCCAAAGTAATTAACACCGCAAGACAAACATAGGGATATTGTAAACATGTAAATTGCACTAAAAAATTTTTTTCATGAATTCTCAATAAGCACATTTATTTAAAATTGCTTAAACAGGAGATTTCAAAGATTTTTCAAACTCTAGCCTTGGCCCCTAGGAGTGTAGTTATACTTCTGTAAAATACAGACAAACTGTCTACAGTCATATAATCCAAACACACTTGATTGTGTGAGAAATGCAGACTAGTTAGTACATTTTTAGAAGTCTCCCAAATAAAGTATTTAGCACAAGGCAAGGCCTTTTCTTGGACCCTAGCCACTTAAATATTAGCAAGAAGGACAAATTTCAGCAGGTAAAAGTTTAGTTTGAAAAGAGATAATTTTGTTTACTCTTGAATGATTTTAATATAAAATTTACAGTTTTACCTTACTTTAAGCAAACATAAGAAGTCACACAAAATAAATCAATGCCATGCCTCTGTTATCTATATATGAATGATATAGTATGATGTTTTTGGGAAAATCTCTTCCTCCATAAAGCAGGGTAGTACACCTGTAGTATAATTTTAACCTAACTTAAAAGACAGATTTTACTTACACATTGTCACCTCTTACGATGTATAATCCTAGTACCACTTGTTCAACTCCTTGTGAAGAGCTGAATACTCGTTCATGGCTTTCATCCAAAATCAAATTAATGGTCTGATCAAAACCTTTAAGTGTACCCTGCAAAGAAAATATTCCAGAGAAAAAGAGAAATATTCTGGTTTACACGAATGTGCAAATAAAACCATTGTAGCAGTTGGATAGGTACCTATCTGAACTATAAGTCCACTATCAAATAAAGTAGCCAACAGTGTTCCAGAGCACAAAACTTGCTTCTTAATTAAGATATGAAAAAATCTGCATCACACACCTCACTGGAGTGCAGTTACTGAGTTACAAAGATCACCAATATACCAGAGCATTTCCAAGTAAGTAGCATAAAGCTCCTCCTATAGCGCAGTAGCAAACATTCTGAGAATACAAACTAAACAAGGGAAATACCAGGGAAAATGATACTGAAATAAGGGAGAACCATATGTCTACATATCAGCTATAGCAATGTAACAGTTTCATTGCATGCTATATACTAGTAGCAAGGCACTGAAATAAATACACTGCACATGTCTAATTCAAAGAAGAAAAATGAAGGCCCTTGAATGTCTTTGAAGGTCTCATGAATAGAGCTAGTAGCAGACCAAGGATCCTAACAAAAGGCTACTACTTTGAGTCAAACCACCGAACACATACATCACACTACTATAAACATCTAAATATTTGTCATTTTTCTGAGATTCACATCTGTCCCATAAGTATTTTACAAACTTCAAAGAGCTAACAACACTTAATAAGTACTTAACTGCCATTATTTTGTGTCTCACATATATTTATTGATTTTCCCAGTAACCCAGTAAAGTAGCTGCAAATACGACTGCAATAATTAGTACCCAAACTTGAAGGAAATAATAAGGTAAAATGTAATGAAAGGTTGTTTCTTTTAAATAAAGGAAGATACTAGCAAAACATAGTAGTAACTCGGATGAAATAAGTTTCTGAAGAAAATAACTTATATTGGGTTTGGCTGGTTAATTTCTCAAGCTCACTATCAAATTGTTTCATGTTCTGAAAAGCAAATATATAAAATCAGAACAAAATAAAGAGAAAATCATAACCTAGAAGTGGAAGAGAACTAGGATGAATACTTATTATATTAGTTACCAAAAAAGTTATCATAAACTCTCATATACAACCTGTTTCATTTTATACAAAGCTATCCTAAAAAAGAGCTATGTGTCAAATATCGTACTAAAATTTTAGTACTCATATATAAAATTCCATAAAATTCACTATCTTGTTAACAAATGAAATTTAAACAAGAGTAAGAAATTTCACAAATAAGGGATTCTTGAAATGTTGAGATTAAAATATTTCAAACTGCCCATATCTGATAAAATACAAAATGAAATGTCTAAAAAAAAATCGAGGTTTTCTTAATTAAGGAAGAAGGAAGGCTATTAGCTTGTCTTTGGAATCAAACCCAATTGAAATCCCCATTTAGTTTTGTCACTTATGCTTTGACTTTAGCAAAGGGACTCACTTTCTCTGCATTTGGTTCCTAACCTATAATACTGAGTAATTCTTACCAAGTTGTACTACAGTTTACTCAGAAACAAATAATACGTATGACACATATAACGCACCTGGCTCATGGCATACACATGTAATACTAATAGCAATGACCTATCAGTAAGAATTACAATGATTAAAAAAGAAAATTACAGAATGAGAAAATAAGGGATTAAATTAGTCATGCACAAAATATCAACATTTGAACCAAGGACAGACTGTAAATACAATAGTGTCCCATAGATTTATCACCCACTGCCTAGTTTGTATAAATATACTTTTAAGATTTTCACACAAGGAAATCACCTAAAAACACATATTTCAGACCTGATCTCCATTGTTAAGCAAATGACTGAACACCCATGTAGTAAGTCACATTTCTAAGAAGCATATACAAAAAAAAATTTTTATGATTTATATAGTCAATGTCAGAGCACTGAATGGGAAAGGAAACAAAAAGATAATAAATAAATCTAATATTTGATCTCCAAAAAAGCGTGTACATAGCATACACTCAATGTTTGATAGAGAAGAAAATATGGATTGGCAGCAACGCAATAAAGGCAAAGAGATGAATTTTTAAAAATCCAATGCAGGTATACTGTGGTACCTAGGCACTGTAGATCAGAAGGTGTGCATAAAAATTTACAACCAATAAGCCTACAAGAAAGCAGAGAATGAAAATGCCACTTACCACAATCATTCTGCCATCAGAAGTAATAACAGCAACAGTTCCTGATAACTGAATCAAGGAAAGTATTTCTTAGGGTATACAAACTGAAAATTTAGATTCTGGTAAGAGAATGGTTTAAATTATTAGAAAATAGATGACAGAATTAAGATCTATTATTTAACAAATCTATTATGTTCCCCACATAAAAACTTAAATTTCTAATTTCTTTGAATTCTTTTATGATAATTACATAACAAAAAAAATAGAAAACTTTCTCTATATGTGACAATGTATCCTGTCTCAAAACAGCTGAGATGTTTGGTACTCTCTTTTTACTAAGAATGTTGCCAATCTATGCTCCTGGGCAAGACTTTTCTCCATTTCTTAGGCTTATTTACTTATGTAGGAAATAAAAATCAACTTAATCATGTAGGAAATACAACTGTATTCCAGGACAAAGCTTTTGAAATTCAAAAGAAGCTATAATTTGTTATAGCATACCTATAATGTTTGTATCTTTTAAAGACTTCAATAATTAACCTTTTGCCAAATTTGTACATTACCACAAGGTAATGTTGTTGTCCTAAGACACTACCGTCATTACAAAAACAAGCACTATTTTCAGTCTACCAACAAGTTGGTACTTGAAGTGGGAAAGGGGCGGGAAGTTCTTGGACCACCTTTATATTTCTGCGACCTTTGAACAATGTGCAAAGCCAGTGACTAAAACAAATACAATACACAGATTTACAAAACCATCATCGCTGCCGAGGCAACGACTGAAATTTGAGCACGTAAGTCTTAAAGTAATAATAAAGATGAATCAATACGGTATACAGCAAAAAGTTCTGAATAATTTCACCGCGGTGTGTTTGTGTCTGCTTGCTGTTTAAGGCTAAAATTAAAAAGCGCCGTAGGCCCCCTGGCTCGACCCGCGTCGCAAGACTGGCTGTTCCCAGGTCCTTAGCCCTCCATACCTCTCTCCCGACCCTCCCGCCAATCCAGGCCGAAGGCCCCTCCTGCCCAGGTCTCCCTCCAGTACCGACACCAGCCCCGACGGTTTTGTCAGCCGGCCAGAGGATACGGTTAATGTAATTCTCCAAGGCGGACGTCATGATGCTCAGCCCAGAGGTTCCGGGCAACAGACGGGTGCCGACGAGGAGCCGCGCTAAAAAGGCCCGCCAGAAAACAGCACTGGTTCACGCCTGCAGGCCACAGCAAATACCGCGAGACTTGCAAAACCGCAGGAAATTGAAAGAAGCCAGCCAACCAAACAGGAAGCAAATTGGTGACTAGAAAAGCGCGTGCGCAGTGCTTCCGCAGGACTTCCGGGCACTGATCCGGAAGCCGAGAGGGACAAAAGCCATCGGGAAACGGAAAAGGAAAAGAAGTACATCTTGAAGCTGGGGTAGGTGGGAGAAGCCGGCAGAACGAACTTCCTAGCGCAGGGACAGACAGTGTGGTAGGAGTTGCTAGGGGAAAATGAAAAGAGGCAGGAAGAAACAGAACGAGGTGTTTTCATAGGGATGTTTTGTTCTCATAAAATGTAGGCGCAGGTAAATGGAATCTCTAGTCAGGTAAATGGAATCTCTAGTCTTCGGCAGCACGGGTTGAAAATTAAAGCCAAAAGGCCTAGCACAAAGTCATTCACGTTGTAATCACAAGGATTATATCTCTGGAGAACATTGCAAAACATGTTTGTGTATTGTGCATTTGCCTCTAATGTTCTACAATGAAGGCATTGTTAGCTTCTTTTAAGAAACTAAATCCAAATAAGTAAATATATGTTATGCTCTCTGTTCAAGACATTTCAACTCTGGACCTCCCTTCTCTCAGATCCTGTCATAACTAATTTGGGGTATTATTCCAGAAAATATCATTCCCCCTTCAGATTTATAAAAGGACTTGAAGTTATAAAATGATATGTACATAAAACAATGGCAGGAGTGATTTTCCTTTTTTACAAATTACATTTGGTTTCCAGTTGGGCATGTTTTTTTCATAGCTGAAGAACTGAAATTAGTCTCGGAAAATGCCGGCAGTTTTCCTCAGAAGAGTGAAGCTTCTCTCTTTTGATTAGAGCACAACCGCAAAATAAAGTCACCCACCAAGTGGTTAACATTTTACATATTGAAACTTAATCTGACCTGTTTGAAACAAGCTGCATATACTCACGAATTAGATGATGAATGTCCTGTATAATCCAGAGAACAAATAATCTTCCATAACTGAAAAAAAATGAACATATTGTGAGGTTGGCAAATGTGTTCAAGTAGAAGAAAGCCAAAGTAATAATTAATGATAAATGAGGTAGCATTAGTGAAGAGTTTTTAAATAATTGTGTGTCACCTTCTTAAAATGAGTAATCCAGGGCCGGGGATTTAGCTCAGTGGTTCCAGCGCCTGCAAAAAAAGCGCAAGGACCAGAGTTCAATCCCTAGTACCCCCCCAAAAAAAAGTAATCCATGTAGCCCTTCATCACTTACAGTCTGTTTATGTTTGGACAATGTATATAGTAATTTATATAGTATGTTGCATTATATAGTAATTTATGGAAATACGCCTATCATAAATACATTATAAGTCCTTGACCTCTTGAAGTTTCCATTAAATTCATAGGCCAGATAAATCACAGATGTTCAGTGTTTATAGATCATCATAAAATTTTCATTTGAAAATTTTGTATGCATATCCTACAGTGCTTTTTTATGTAGTCCCTAAGATTTACAGATGTGGAGAAAAAGCATGTGGATAAAGAAGAGTACATTTATATGACAAAAAAAGATTATCCTGACAGAAACACATCTATGATTTGACTAAACTAGTCTTGTGACTTTGAAAGTACATGAACATAGAGAGTTTAGTATCTCATAAAAGAGAAGGCCAAAGAGGAAGTTGTATGTATAAAACTGCTATATATGACAGCTAGAGGAAGAGATACAGTAATACTTTCAGCTTAACTCAAAAGTCTCTCAAATTCTTCATTTAAATCATATTCTGTCACGGATAAAGCATTATTTAAGGTATCTTTGGAATTGACACTTAATTCCATTAGTTCTTAATGCAACTGACATAATAAGCAATATAGCATGGTGGTGAAGAACACTAACTCAGGCCTGGGAATACAGCACTATAACAGAATGCTTGTTTGCTTGCCTCACATGCACAAGGCTCTGGGTTCAGTACATAACACCTCATGCATAGGGTGGTTTCTATAATGTAGTGGTTATCACGTTCACTTAACATAGCACCACACACACACACACACACACACACACACAAGTTTAAAAGCTCAGTAAGAACTGACTTCACCAAATTGCTGAAAAATAAAGCCTGGTATATAAAAAGCATTAAATAAATGTTAGTGACTATTACTCAAGGATATAGCCTACATCATAAGTAACCCTTTTCTTAGGCCCAAAGCTTATTCTAATACATTTCATTCACTGCTGTATTTTCTGATTGGACAAACAAGTGGAAAACAACTAAGGGGAAGATAGATATTTTTAGAATTTTGAAGTTTTTTTTTTAAAGGTGTCTTAAATTGGACTGTTATAATAAAATACCTCAGACTGAGGCATTTATAAACCTCTCAGAACTTACTCTTCTTGAGGCTAAGTAGTCCATGATCCAGGTGCCAGCCTATTTGAAATGCATAGTGAACGCCTATTTCTTTTTCATGGCACCTGTTTACTCCATGCTCACACAGTAGAAAGAGTAGAGCAGCTACTTCAACCTCTTTTGTGAGAACACGTGTCCTATTTATGACTTTTTAATCACTTGCCCAAAATCTCATTCCTTTTGTGTATATGTGGTGTTTAAACCTAGGACTTCATGCATGCTAAATACTTGCTGTACTAATGAAGTACACTCTCAGCACAATCTACCACCTCTGTGTGTCTGTCTGTCTGCCTGTCTGTCTGTGTGCCTGTGTATGTGGTGCTGGAGCTGAAACCGAGAGCATGGCACATGCTAGACAAGCCCTCTACCACTTTCTTAGTTACATCCCCAGCCCCTCATCCCTTATTAATACTACCACATCAACTATTAGGTTCCAACATAAGAATTTTGGAACAATACTAACATTCAGACTTCAAACAGAAGAAACAAAAAAATGATAATATAATTATAGCTACAGTATGGTATGTACATTTCTGAAAACGTTCATTTTTCTTAAATGGTTCAATTAAAAAACCTAAAGAAAAAAAATAGGTCTGAGAATGGACCCACTCAAAACCTGAATAACAGCAACAATTATAAAACTGTGGTGCTTATTTTTTATCACCTGAGAATCTTTAAAAACTACAGTTGATGCCTGATTTCCCTGTACAGACATGCTGAATAAAATAGTATGAGGGGAGAGATTGGTAATCAAGATTCTGAAACATCCCTTGGTGACTGATATATAGCAAAGTGTAGGGACCACTGAGCTGTAATATTACCAGAGATAATAATCCAAATGGAAAAAAAAAAAAAACCTTGTTTTAAAGGACATGTAAAATTGCTAACAAATAATAAAATGCGAACAATTTAATGAGTCTTACCTTTCAAAAAAGTCACCATGCTTAAAACAATTTATAGAGCCAAGTACTGCTTGTAATGTCAAGTACTTGGGAGACAAAAGCAGACAAATCACAATTTGGAAGTCAGCCTAAAAGCAACTTAGTAAGACCCTGTCTCAAAAATAGAAATAAAAATAAAAACTCAGTGCTTCCTGAGTTCTATCCCTAGTGTCTTTCCCAAAAAATGATAGTTTGTGGAAGGGTAACCATTGATGAGTGATGGGAGGAAGGGAGGAAGAACACCAGATGTGGCAAATAGAGTAGTTGCACACTGGAAGAAATGTAAAAGTGCTAGAGATGAATAGCTCACTCACGGATGTTACTTCTTTTTCACATCACAAAGAGCTAAGAAAACAGCAAAATAAGGCTTACTGATGATTTAAGAAAACTATAAAATAAGTCTTATCACAAGGTCATGCAAGAATGGGATGCGGCCCAGTGAAAAGACATCATTTGAGTACTGTTTTCCTGTGCAATCATGGATTAAACTGAATTACTCGCCCTTCACCTGTAGTGAAGCACAAGATATTTAAGTGTGGGCCAGGGATTTAGCTCTGTGGTTCTGCTGCCTGCCTTGCAAGCACAAGGTCCCGAATTTGATCCCCAGTACCAAAAATTGTTTTTAAAAAAGATATTTACATGTTACAAATAAATATAATCCAACCCATCTTCCCTGATATTCTCATAGTATTCCCCTGCTTAGCAATAACATGTGAACTGAGTTGTATTGTAAAAACAGAAGCTGTAACACAACAAACTGTGTTAATATTCCACTGAAAATTTAGATTCCATAAAGTTAACATTCTGCTCTTTTACTTATCTATGCCTGTGGTTCATATTCTGTTTTCATACCAGCTAATTTTGGGGATAGGTAGTTCTTATACTTTTTGCCTTAGACGGTTGCTTAAATTCATGTGATTTGGGGCAGCTTTATTTAAATGGCACCTAAAAAAGTATGACTAATCCAAATGGAGCACCCACACCTGAATATTTTCAGATTTTTAAATAAATTACCATGTATGTGTTATCATTATAACAAAGCAGATTAAGGAACATTATTTTAAGCTGAGTCTATTTGCTTGCTTTTTGTTGTTTTGTTTGGCTTTTAAAGAGTCATTTATCTTTTAATAGCTTGGACTACATTCTCGGTAAAAGTATACTATCCATTCATTGTGACTTTGGCATACATACCAAAATATTATTGATGGCGGAAGTCGTTTTAATTTAAGTCTCTGGAATCTTCAACCTAGACTCATTTCTGAATGGTATAATTTATACTGAAGGAATAGATTATGCTATGGTTTGAATATGGGTAGTGTCTCTCAAAAGTCCACATGTTAAAGGCATGGTCCTTGGAGTAGCGCTATTGGAAAGCAATAGAAACTTACGAGGTGGAGGCTACTAGGAGATTCCTAGGTCACTGGGAGCATGTCCTTGAAGGGAGTTGAGTGATCTGAGTCTCATTTCCCTCTATCCTGGCTTATGATAAAACACTCCAATATGTGCTTCCACCATTTGCCACCCACCACCCCACCATTATCAGGTGCTTAATGGCCCACCTCATCTTAGGTTTGAATACCTTAAACTGAGCTAAGTAAACCTTTTCTTCATAAGTAGCCTAGCCACTCAGTTTATGGTAATT